GCAAAGAATCTGTGTCTTGAACGCTTTCTTAAATATATCCGTGTTTGTGTGGTTGGAGATGATATCTATATACATAGCCAATGTTGTGCAGAAATGAAAAAGTCAGTATCGTATCTTGTGGACATCAAATTGTTAAAAAGCGTGATTCTTGAATGCCAGTGTGACTGTGCTGCTGGAATGGGCCCTGGTTCGCACTGTAAGCATGTTGTTGCTGTGTTGTATGCCTTCCACTTGTTCACTCAAAATGGAGAAGTGTATGCTGCAACTACATGTACACAGAGACTTCACTTTTCATTACAGCAAAGCCTACCGAGGAACACCAATAAAATCAACAGACCTGCAGCTTGTGAACGGTCAAAATCATAGATTCAGTTTTGACCCAAGACCACCCAAGTACGCTAACGCTGGAAACTTTAGCTATAAAGACTATTTTCAGAATACCTGCTTGAATGCAACAGGTGTCTCAACTACGCCCATTTTCCAGCTGTTTAAGCCTGCTAATCCGTATGCAGTGGCACATGACCACGACTATTGTTTTGATACAATGCAAAACGACTTCTTGTCATCTATTTCACTCCCCAACATAACCCAGGAAAAGAGGACAGAAATAGAGCATACAACTCGAGGACAGACTGGAAATGCTGCATGGTTTGAGGAGCGTTGCAAGCGGCTTACTTCATCCAACTTTGGCCGCATATGTAAGGCCACAGATAAAACTGACTTTAGAAAATTGGTGAGATCATCTACAACTGTGACCAAAATCAAATGCGCCCCAATACGACATGGACAGCGATGTGAAAAAATCGCCTTGGCCAAATATGAAGAAACAAATAATGTGAACACGAGAAGCTCAGGACTTGTGGTTAGCCTTACTCACCCTTACTTGGCTGCATCTCCTGATGCTGTTGTCGATGACAATCTGTTGGTCGAGATAAAATGCCCATATGTAGCACGTGAACGATCCATTACCCCAGTTAATGTCCCATATCTCGTTCAGGACAGCTATAGTGATGAACTGAAACTTCTTAAACAACATAACTACCAAGTTCAGGGCCAGTTGTTTTGCACTGGAGCTACTATGTGCGACTTTACAGTGTTTACGTTTAAGGATATGAAAGTTATCCGGATCATGAGAGATGATGAGTTTATTAAAGACATGTTAAAATGCTTAGAAAACTTTTTTCAGTCACATTTTCGCACTGCTGTCTACAGTCTCTACTCATGGTCATGAATGCAGTAATTACTGAATAGAAATGTAAATATCGCCAGTAAATCTAGCTTTTTTATCACTTGTGTCACATTGTCAGTCATACTTCAAATAAAAAATTAGAAGATGATATTATATAAATGACAACATGCATTTTATTGCTGAATAAAATATACAAATTTGATGATTTTTAAAATATGCATTCTCTTAAATCATTACACAGTTCTCTATAGGGCTTGCTAGCAATCATCCATTGACAGGTTTTTTTACATCTTGGACTATGCCATTTTAGATACAATGCAACTCCTGAAATTACATAGCATGTAACAAACAAAGATGATTTCACTGCTCAAGTTTGTTTCAGGACCGGTCATGGGTTGAGTTAAAATTTTGTATGTTTTTCCTAATCCTATAATTCTCTCGATGTGTACCCTCTTGCTAGCTATTTTACGGTCTTTTATTACACACTCTCCAGACATACGGTTTTTTTTCTTAAAGAAAGTGGGAATGTTGACAGTAATATTGAATGGGGCAAATAAGTCCTGTATGTTAAAACCTTTGTCAGCCATTATGGAATCACCTGGGTCACAAGATATTTGTATGTGGCTTCTTTCGATGATTTGCCGGTCACTGACAGAGCCACCATAGCTAGGGGAGATGTAGGATACTAGTCCACCAGGCGTGCATCCAACCAAGTTCTTAACAGTATTCCTGTTTTTGTAAGTTGAGAATGTGCTCTGGTTAGCACGGGGTGCACTAGGTTTCTTAACAGGACATTCAACACCGTCAATGACTATACGAGTAGTAGGGAACTTTTGGGTGATACTCCATTAGGAGTGTTCCCAACTTTAATGTCATTAATTATTTCTCTGGGCTTGGTAGATCAGTGTGTCCGGACAACTACCCACTGGACAATGAGGGCTGTTACCGCAATCGCCAATAGGTGGCAGCACACCACAACCCGGTCCTTGCGCACGCATACCTGTCAAAACTACTACTTGTCAGCACACGTATTTCACAAGATGCGATTTTAGCCAGAAACGTGAGCAAATAATCATCTTAACAAAGCTGATATTAACTAGAAATCTCAAAATACGACAATTGGACACTTGCTGAGTTACGTGAGGAACTTAGACGCCGTAAAGCCAAGCTTCCGGGGAGAAAAGCCGAGTTAATCGAGAGGTGAGTTTTCCAGTGTAATTTTGTTTGTCATGTAGGCCTATCTGCTGACTTCCTCACTCGGTCGCAAAATGAAACGTTTATAAAAATGCAGATTTTGTCTTAATTATGAAATTTTTTAACATATAAAAGTTTTAGAGTAATATTTTGTATTTGCAACGGTTTGTAATAAAACCATATTACACCAAATAATCCATAGGCCAAAAAATCTTTTTTACAAATACTTCTTTTGTGTGCAAATACCAAGGGAGGAGCTATCTTGTCTGTCCTTAATAAAACCCACATGCAGCATGCTAATATATCATCAAAAATACTTCCTGTTTTTCTGTTATGATATTTTTGGCTTTATTTAAGCTCCACAGACTCACAAATAATTCAATTTTTTCTTTTTTCAGGCTTGAAGCATATGAAAGAAATGATGATTTTGGAGGAAGGTCTGAAGTGCAACCAGAATATCAGATGAATATACCTGACACAACCACATACAAAGACTTACACAGTGGGATGGATTTTGGAAGCTTTCCATTAAGCAGCGTCAACAGCTACCTCCAATCGTATGACCAAGGTTTAACCTCAAAGGCAAAGAATCTGTGTCTTGAACGCTTTCTTAAATATATCCGTGTTTGTGTGGTTGGAGATGATATCTATATACATAGCCAATGTTGTGCAGAAATGAAAAAGTCAGTATCGTATCTTGTGGACATCAAATTGTTAAAAAGCGTGATTCTTGAATGCCAGTGTGACTGTGCTGCTGGAATGGGCCCTGGTTCGCACTGTAAGCATGTTGTTGCTGTGTTGTATGCCTTCCACTTGTTCACTCAAAATGGAGAAGTGTATGCTGCAACTACATGTACACAGAGACTTCACTTTTCATTACAGCAAAGCCTACCGAGGAACACCAATAAAATCAACAGACCTGCAGCTTGTGAACGGTCAAAATCATAGATTCAGTTTTGACCCAAGACCACCCAAGTACGCTAACGCTGGAAACTTTAGCTATAAAGACTATTTTCAGAATACCTGCTTGAATGCAACAGGTGTCTCAACTACGCCCATTTTCCAGCTGTTTAAGCCTGCTAATCCGTATGCAGTGGCACATGACCACGACTATTGTTTTGATACAATGCAAAACGACTTCTTGTCATCTATTTCACTCCCCAACATAACCCAGGAAAAGAGGACAGAAATAGAGCATACAACTCGAGGACAGACTGGAAATGCTGCATGGTTTGAGGAGCGTTGCAAGCGGCTTACTTCATCCAACTTTGGCCGCATATGTTATGTGCAAGAACAGGTCTGGCCATTTATTTCCGTGGTCAACCCCTGCCCGATTTCGATCCTGGAAGGTGGCAATTAAGCGAGACAAGTGGCAACCTACCAAGTACAGTGTGGTGTGCAAGGCCCACTTTGATGATGGAGATTACGAAACTAGAACAACTTCAGGTGGGTAGAACACACTGGCACACTGAACAAACTGTTTTTTTTACAAATTTAATTATTATACTTATAGCCTATTAGTATTACTATATTAGTATTATGCTGCCTAACTATGTAGACTATAATACTAGTCTTTAGTATGTATATAGATCTAATATGATAAAAATTGAAATAGTCAAAGGCACTATCTAGGCCTACATATTTCTAGTTTTAATTCTATATTAACAAACCTTTTATCGATATATTTTTTGAAGATATATAATACTATGCATGTAGATCTAATTAATTCTCCTAAAAAATTATCATTTATTTATTTTTGTCGGTATTAAAAATATAATACATTTTTAGGAACAAAACCATTGTTTGGACGGCTCAAGAAGAGTGCGGTCCCGCACATATTTGCCTGGATGAAAAATCCCACAGAGACGGCAGTGGAACGGTCGAGGCGAGCACGGAAGCGCTTGGAACTTGATTACAAGAGAGATGCCCAGAGCCAAGCGGCATATGATAATGTCGGAGCTGAGGAGACAGGCAATACAATTAGTACATATTGTGAAGCCAGTGATGGCTTGCCAGGTAATATTCAATAAAATGTGCGTTACAACAAGTGCTATATTACACTGTCAGAAAGTTTTATGTTGTTTTTCAAAAAGATATAGTCTAAATGTTTCTAAAACATACATTTTTTCACCGACAGATAGAATGGTGGCATCAACAACACAGACAGATGTTGTTGAAACTACAAGTACTGGGACTCAATCTCAAAAACAGCAGCCCTATGCAGCAGACAGTTTCTCGCATGATCCAGATGGCATTCATTTTTACACGGGCTTGAAAAACTACAGAAAATTTTTGTTCGTGCTAGACACCCTGGGGCCAGCTGCCTATGAACTGAATTATATGCAGGGAATGGTACATGCTCTCAGTGTCGAGGATCAGTTCTTCCTGACTCTAATTAGACTCAGACAGCATAAAACCAATTTTGAACTAAGTCGCATGTTTTCCATATCCGTTATCTCCGTGACCAACATATTTGTCACATGGATCAACTTCCTTTATCTGGAATGGAGTGAAATAAACTGGTGGCCCTCACAAGATCTTGTGCAATACTTCTCGCCTAGCGATTTTCACCGAAAATTTCCGACCACCAGAGTAATAGTGGACGGAACAGAATGTCCCATCATGAAACCGAAGGAACCCATCGCTCAGCAGTCAACGTTTTCTTCTTACAAGAATCGGAACACGATGAAGGTTCTAGTTGGATCCAGTCCGGGTGGACTGGTGTCCTATGTTTCTCCGGCATACGGTGGATCCACCAGTGATCGGCAAATATGTGAACGGTCACAATTATCTCAAATGTGCGATCCAGGAGATAGTATTATGGCAGATAAGGGTTTTAATGTACAAGATTTGTTCGAGTCCAGAATGATTACGATCAACATTCCCACCTTCTTCAGAAAAACAAACCGACTTTCTTCAGGAACTGTTCTCAAAGATCGTAAAATAGCCAGCAAAAGAGTGCACATCGAGCGTATAATTGGGCTAGCTAAAACCTACAAAATATTGAAGGAACCTATGAACAACACTGAATCTGTTCTCGCCACACGCATTATCCAAGTTTGCTTTTATTTGTGCAATTTTCGCACGAACATCGTACCATCAAATGCCTGAAAGTCTCTGTGGACTCATTAATTAAAGTCGCCTACTGAGCTCTTGTATGAAAGTGCTACTACAATTATTATTATTATTGATACGTGATTATCTCTACTTGTTGAAAAGTCGTATTCAATGAGCTTGCAAGGTGAATACAACTTTTCAACAAGTGAATATAATGATGTATTAACCGACTACAAAAGTCGATATTTGTTTTATTATTATTGATTAAAATCTTGTACATGTATTGAATGTGACCAATACCACTTTTCAAAATTTAACAATACCACTAAATCTTTCTGGACTCATAACATCATTACAACCAATCACATCACATTACACAACATTTTGTAAACTTTGTCCAGTATGTACCTTTAATACAATCGGTAAATGACTTAAAACACGAACACATGATAATTATATATATATATATGTATCATTTTGTTACATGTAAAACAGAACTTGTGTGTACATGTACACCGGTATAATGTTTTTGTTGAAATACAATGTTTTGAATAATATTCAATAAAGCGCATTTGAAACAATGTCTAAAATAAATTTGTGTCAGCATTTCAATTTCATGGTTCCTAAAACATTTTCACTTGCATTCAAAACTGTACTCGTCATAATTTCTGTAAAAGAATTTGTTGAAGATGGCATCCTTAAAATAGGTGTCGTAGAACTTGAGGAGTTTGCTGATCATGTCATTTATGAAAGAATCGTCTTTTGGAATTCTCACAAGTACAATGTCCTTGAACGTGTACACCACAAAAATACAAACAGATCTCCCCGTACAAAATAATTGTCCTTGAATTTGATAGTAATAATCATGCTTTTTATCTAAACAAAAACCATTATCTTTTTCTACCAGATATGGTACAGTAACATGGGAGATGGTTTTGTACCGAGCTGTATAGGGACACTTGACCTCCATTATGAGGTCGTCGCTAACTATTCGGTCTGGTGATGCTGCCAGTTGTGGATGTATCGGACTG